ATCCGAGCTTTACTGCCCCGCTGCTCCCTTGTCTGTGGCTGTGTCTTTAAAATGACGGTGCGTCGGCATGGCCCTCGCTAGCATCACTGCTGGATTCGTCCTCGGACACGGGCGCTCGTTCGCAGTCCACCCACAAATTCCATGCCTCATGCTCCAGATCACTCGCGTCGTTATCTGCGAGCTGCTGATGCCCTCGGTTAGGTCTTGTTGAGCAAGTTTCGCCACTTATGACGATCAGCATCGGTTCTCCCTTTCGGATCTCCCATCGCCCATGGCGCGGGGATGCGCGGGGATTCTCACCTTTTCTGTTTTTTTTAGCGGCAGCGTTCGGCTGCCGCTTGCAACTGTTCCCTGCGATATGGCGCGGCGAGCTTCTTTCGGGCCTTCCCGATTTGAGCAGGTCCAGCGCCCCCTCAGGATGCGATCTTATCCCGCCCGCCATCAAGCACCTCACCACCCCGATGACGGGACAGTCGTCGGACTTTGCGACGGCTGATTGGCGCTGAGCGCCCATGGTGGTCGCTCCACAATTCACTTCCGCATGGCCGTCTGTCAATAGGGCCAGCCATGAGCACTTGTGTTCTCGCACGGGATCGCGACCCGGCGAATGGCACAGCTGGGCCAGCCATCTGCACCTCGTTCGCAGGAGCTGCACAGGGACGTCCTGCTACACCCCCCACCGGGGCGGCGCCAGCACCATGGGCGCTGCGCGCCGCCCCCCCGGATCACGGATGCCCGGGAGCGTTGGCCCTGTGCCGGCACTTCTCCGAAAAGACACGTTTGGCCGTCAAAGGGATGCCAGAATTTCGCTTTGGTTTTGCCTTTTTGCCCACTTGTTTCGCCGCCATGCCGCTTGCTTCCGTCAGGGGCGGGACCCGCCGACTGCTCCCAGGCTTTCGCGTTCTTCTCAGCCGCAGCCGTCTGCTCCGCGTTTCGGCTGCAAGGAAGACCCTTGCCGGCCTTCTGAAGGCATTGCTCCCGGGCGTCTCGCCCCTGCTTCTCCTGCTTCGTCAGCGGGCGACGGTCAGGGCCGCAAGAGCCGTCGCAATTCTGGGGGCCACGGCTGCAGGCGTAGCACACTGCATCCCAGGCTCTGCCTAGAAGGGTGCTTACTCTGAGGCTTAAAGGGCCAGGCAGTGGAATGCGCCCCGGGCGGTTCCCCCGGCGCCCGCCCCGCGGTTCCCCCAGTCACGTTCCCTTAGCTTCGCGTTGCTTATCTCATCTTAACTTAGATTATTTAATAATACCTTAGCGTAGCTTCATCTTACCTCAGTTGTATCTTAGCTTACCTTCATCTTAGCTTCGCTGAGCTTTACCATAGCAGAGCACAGCATAGCATAGCATATCATAGCGCAGCACAGCATATCATAATATAGCCCAGCATGTCATAGCATAGCGCAGCACAGCATAGCATAGCATAACATAGCGCAGCACAGCGCAGCACAGCACATCGCAGCATGGCATTGCAGAGCATAGCACAGCAGCAACGCAGGCTATAGCATAGCAACTTATAGGTAGGGTCGCACTTGCGGAGGAGGGTTGCTGCTACCGCGCCCGTTTCGCTTCTTGGGCCGGTCAGCTTTTCCGCCTTTGCTATCGCCTTTGCCCTTGCCCTTTCCATTCCTTTCTCCCCTGCCTTTGCCCCTCGAATCAGCTTTGCCCCCCCAGCCCCTCCCAGTTGGTCCACCATGGGTAGGCCCTGGTGCGGCGGCCTGGGTTTGTCCGCGTTTTAGCTGTTGCGCGGGTGTCGCTTTCTTGGGGTGCAAGTATTCACAGTCATTCCGACTGAATGGAGATTGGTCTTTGAGCCATCGCCAGCAGATGACAGACTTCTTGGGCCTTCCGTCTTTCATGGCGATCGAGTCCTTATTCCCATCGCCTGTCTTCCCACCGCTGCGTTTCACCCCGCGCTTGTTTATCTGCTGCTTCTGGGTCTTGCGGTTCCCCCCCCCCCCCATCGATCCTTCAGCATCTGCCTCGCGACCTGCCCCATAAGCCATTCGTAAGATTTCATGCCCTTCCCGTACTCGTCGTTGCTGCGATCATACATGGCGAGAGCCATGTGCATGCAGGGGCACTTCATCTGTTTGTAGAATTGGCCTTGGATCGAGGGCCTGAAGGATTGTGGGGTTTCTGCATCTCCTGTCACCCGCGTCCATTCATCGAAGAAGTGGTAGAGATCGGCGTTCTGGGCTAGAGCATACCGGCCGATCCTCTGATTGGCGGCCTCTTCATCTTCTTCGTCGGAGTCATCGTCCTCTGCGCCGCCCGCGCCTTCCTCCTCGGAATCGTCGTCTTCGCTCGGCTCGTAGTCATCGTCATCATCGCCATCATCATCGCTACCGTCGCCAGGATCATCGCCCCCTGGCGCGCCTCCTACACCACCTTCCTGTCCTCCCGGCATGTCCCCCTCACCATTCGCATGGCCTCGGCGAAGGGGTTTCTCACCGCCCTCTGCGAGGTGCCCAGCGCGGGCCGTGGCTTTCCTCGGTTGGGCAGGCGTCGTGCACCCTGAGCAGGAATTCGTCGGTGGTTCATCCCGTTTCTTCTTTCTCTGCTCTTCTTTCGTCTCTTGCGCCTCGCTGGGTGCCAGCCCCCGGTGCTCGTGAAGTTTCGATTTGGCCTTTTGTCGCGCCAAGATCTGATTCCTGCATCAGCGCTTCGGCCTTCTCTCGCATCTCGGTGGCTTGAGCACGTGATTTTTCTTCTAACATCAGATCGCGGAGTTCTGCGTTTTCCTCATGTGCACGGATGCGACGAAGAGCCCTGGCCTCCGCCTGGGCCCCAATCTCGTCTCTGGACCGAGCGTTCTCTTCCTCCCGCATCCTTTCTTCGGCAGGGCTTCTTCCTCTTCACGCTGCTTCCTCAGCATCGCTTCGCGGTCGCGTGCCCTGTCATCCTCGCATTGGCGACAGCGTTTCATTATCCAGTCGTAATGCAGTGCGCAGAACGGCCTTTGGCACCTCTCGCATCTGCACGGGACATCGGGCGCGTTGCAAGTGAAGCGTCGGTTTTCGTCGGACACAGCTGGTCTGGATCGAGAGCCCTCTCGCTGACGCGCGGTTCCCCCAGCTGCTCGGGCGCGCGACGCAGTTGCCGATGCAGCCTTTCTGACTGCGCTTGCCATACCCTGTAAACCAACTTGCACCAGCTGTCTCGCTTGCTGTCGGTAAGTCAATTCGCGCCGAACTCCCCATTCGCGCGCAGTCGAGAAAGCCCCCTGTCTGGAAATATTGCTTCGCTGCCTCCACTTCTACTTGAAGCTGCACTTCGGTATTCCGCATGGCTGAAATTGCCCCCCCCGCCTCATTCCTCGCACTGGCGCGGCCAGCCTGGGAGGTCGCTACGGCGCGCTGAGCGCGTTGATGCACGGATCTCAGCTCGGCCGCCCGGCGAGTAGCCGACTCGTGTTCTGCGACAGCCTCAGCCCTTGCTTGTGACAATGCCTTCGCTTCCCCACCGGCCATCTCGGAGCTTGTTGGACCAACTGCGCTTCTGTACGTCCTCCGCTGCCAGGCGCAGGTCCGCGACGATCCTTGAGCTGAGTACGGGAACGCTGGGCGGGGAGAGCTCAGGCAGAGGGATTCGCTGGGCGTCCCCGCGCCCAGTTCGGCACCCCCCGCGAGGATCGCGGTCCATAGGGAGCTCCGCCTTGTGGCCCCAGTGGAGAAACTCGCATGGCGTCCGATTGTCCATTCCGGCATACAGTCGGGGCGTTGACCTAAGGAACCCCAAATAAGGAACGAGGCCCCTTTTTTCCATAAGTGAACCTTCGATTTCCTGTCGAAAACACCATGAAAGCCTGAGGCACGCTGTGAAACACTTAAGGAACGCGGAGCCCCTCCCCAACGAAAAGGGTTCCTTCTTCAGGGCCCCGACTGTACCCCTCACGAGGGTCGTCCCCCATTGGGAGCTCCACTACCCCGCTGGGGGCACTCGCCTGGCGCCCCCGTACCCTTTCTGGCACACGCCCCACCGCGGATTGTGGCCCCCCTAGGGACCTCCACCCGTTGCCCCAATGGAGGAACTCGCATGGCGTACCCGTGCCCGCTTCGGCACACCCATCACTGGGATCGTGGTCCATAGGGAGCTTCACCTGAGGCGTCAGGGGAGGTGCCCGCATGGGGTCCCCGCGCCCGTTTCGGCACGTCCCTCACGCGGATCGTGCCATTTTGGGAGCTCCAGCCACGGCCCCCGTGAAAGAGTTCACAGTGTGTCCCCGCGCCAATTCGGCACAGCACAGCCCCCACGAGGCCAAAGGCAGGGTTTTGCTAATGGTGCTCCCGGCCAACGGTGTGCCTAGCTTTCCCAATTCATCACGTAGCCCCTGGGACCCACTGGGCCTCGTGGGGGATGCTCTGTACCTGGACCTCCGACGTCATGATTTTCTCTCAGCATGGCCTCCCAGGAGGTCTCGGCCCATTCCCCAGGGCGGGTGTTTCATCCTAAATCGTTGTGCTGCTTGACGGTCCCGGGGCACGGCGAGAGACCCCAGAGGCCGAAAGCAAAAGGAACATCAATCCGTCGCAACTTTCTCACAACGCGATGGAGTCTGGGGAGGCCACCTGGGCCTCCTGGAACACGAGGAGCACCTCTGGCAACCTCTGACAGTCTGACAGGACGACCCGCCGCTCTGCACACCGCTCCTGCGTGACTGGCGGCGGCAACGACGGCGACGACGACGACGAGGTCGACGGCGACGGCGACGACGACGACGGCGGCGACGACGACGACGGCGGCGACGACGGCGGCGGCGACGCCGGCGACGACGACGACGACAACGAAGACGGTGACGACGACGACGACGACGTCAACTGTAACGGCGACGCCGGCGGTGACGTCGACGACAACGGCGGGGACGTAATCGACGACGCCGACGAGGACGACGGCGACGGCGGCGGCGACGTCGTCGATAACACTGACGGCGATGACGTCCACGGCAGTGCGACAACGGACGGAAAGGCGCGCGCAAACTTGCTGCCCCACCGCCCCAGAGATGCCTCCGGGCGCCAGCGCGCGCGCGCAAGCTCCGCGCCCATGGCTGGCACGGGCTTCCTGGGCTCTCTTCGGTCGGCGTCTCTGTCGCGGCGTGTGGTCGGCGTCGTCGTCGCCGCCGACCGCGCCAGAGAGCGAACGGGGATGGGGGGAAGAGAGAGAAGGCGGCGAGCGGGTGTGGATGGAGGGCACCGAGGGGCAGAGGGGGAGAGAGAAGCGAGAAGCCAGGCGAGGTCGCGTCACGTCTTGCATCCTACGCCGACGGGAGTCGCGGTCTGCGCAATCAGAAACGGGATATGTGTACGTTGCAGGAGGAAGAGGAGGCGGCTGTTGAGCACGAGGACGAGCAGGATGAGAAGGAAGGAACAGCAGCAACAAAAGTAAAGAGGGGGAGCGCGAGAGGGAGAGGCACGAGGACCAGGGGAAGGCCGAGGAGGGGCAAGGAGGGGGGGCGACAACGACGAGACGGGCCTTGGACCCACAAACATGGCCCGCACTTGGGCGAGAGCCGGCCCCGAAATGGGGCCATAGCTGCAGCGGGTGTGCTTTTGAAACAATGCATCCCGCTCCTCCTCCTCCTCCTCCTCGTCCTCGTCCTCCTCTTCCTCCCCCTCCTCCCCCTCCTCCTCCTCCTCCTCCTCCTCCTCCTCCTCCTCCTCCGAGAAATCAGAGAACGCGATGATCGTACATTATTTTTTCATGTGCACATGTAAATTTAATTGTCATGTACATGGAAACGTGCGCACTAGACACAACGTCGATAAGCCTGCCAGTAAACAGAAAGCAATATGCGGGGAAGGCGGCGCCCCGATCGTATCTCGGGGAGAGAAAGCACCAGTCCTCGTACTGGGCAGCTGCAGAAAAAAGGGAGACGAGACAGAGGACAGGCGAAAAACCGGGGTGGGCGTCGTCGCCGACGACTTCGGGGCTTCGACGAACACGGAGACGCCGACGATGACAGCGACATCGACTGTGCCGACGTTGGCCGTCGTTGACGTCGGCGCCGTCGCCGATCGAAATTATGGGCCGCACTTCGGGTTGCCGATTTGGGCCGCGCAAGCTCCGCGGGGGGGGGGGCCAAGGGCCTGCGCAGCCTGGATACCCTGAAATCCAATCGTTGCAGTTTACGTCGCACCAGACGTTTTCGCCCCGCTTCGGGTTTGGGAACATCACAGATCGAGCTGGCTCGACAAAAACAACAACAAGATTGAGTCCAGGCTCCCGTCGCTACTGTTCGCGGCGCTGTATGTTTCACAACGTCGAATCTCACGGTATTCCGAGCTCTGCCGCAGCGACGATAGGAACTGCACGCGCAGGCCGCCATCTGCTCGGTGACCTCGCGCACGCTCCCCAAGGCTTGGAGCCCCCGGGCATTCAGTAGAGCTGCCATTGGAAGACATGCAGGTACGAGTTGGGGTCGTTGACGGTCTGCGATAAAATTGTGTTCGAGCGGAAGTCCGGGTCGTTCTGCAGGATCCCCACTGCCCGCTGCGCTGACGAAGCCGCATTGCGAGCTGCCTCTGTCGTTGAATCGGGTTTGTCCGTCGGCGCCGTCTGGTTCGATCCCCTTGCGATCCACACGTTCTCGTCACCGCACTTGCCGCGCTTGAACCCCGACCAACGGTGGCCCCCGCAACTCTGAATGCGGTTGGCATGGCGGTCGCAATCTGGCGGCGGCGGCGGAGGTGGCACTGCTGACTTGGGTTTCGGGGAAACTTTCCTCGGCGCCCGACGGAGCTCCTCGAGGGTCGGCAGGGTTCCCTTCTAAAGACTCACAATCGCCGCCCCGTCGTGGAGCTTGATGACGGAAAGATTGCTGAGGTTTGGAGGTGCTGAAGCTTCCGCCTTGGTCACTGACGGCGTCGCCCGAGCGGTTGTTGCTGTCGATGGCGGCCGCACTGGCACAGCCAGTTTGAAGGGGGCTGGTAATTAGGCCCGTCCAGACGCTACGATTTCGGCGAAGCACGGCTCCTGCTCTGCTGTATCGTAGTCACGATAGTCCCAGTTGTTGGAAGTCGTCGCGGGAGCGACGGGCCATCTCAAGCGAAATATGTTTTCGGTCTCGATGGCGAATCGTATGCCTCGCAAAGAGGCGCAGTCAAATGTTGGCGGCCGGCCGCTTGAGCACGAACGGCCGCTGACAAACGTTCGCTATCTCTCGCCCCTGTCCCAGCTCGCTTTCGAATCGGGGGGGAAGGGAGACGAAGCGTAAGTCCGCGGCCACTATACAGCATATACACTGTACAAAAGGCAGCAGAAGGCGGGGCCGTAAGGAAGGCGGACCCGCAAGCAACTTGCATTGGAAGCACATTGCTGTGCATGCGATTACTTCTCAGGCGGCCACAGACCAAGTTGTCTGGCCAGCCCGATCGGATCATAACGCTTTACGTCATGTTTGAAAGATCGCGTACCTCCCATGACATGTAGGAGCATACATATATATATATATATATATAGATATATGTATATAACAATGCTCCCCTTTGTGCGACCATCCGCGGTCGCATCCGGAATGTCACACCACTGAATCTATACTGCGCACGATTCATAGCTCCATCCTCTGTCGTATCACACTGCTGCGTCCTAAAAAAAAACACTCGGTCGGCTTCTTCGGGTCTTTGCTTGACAAAGACTTGAAAACAGATTCAGCACCGATGGTCAAGGTGACCTTAATGCTCGGGCCACCCAACTCAAGTGCGTCTTTCAACTGAGTGGGGGCCAACGGACCTGCATGGAGCTTGTGCAGGGCCACGATCGTGGGGTAGCAGTCCTCCAAGTTGCGGGCTGCTGCAAGTGTTTCTGCTGAGTAGCTTGAACGGGCCTGCAAGCGGCAAGACTTGCAGCGCGCATCGATCAAGTGGAGGACAGGCTCACCGGATGGCGCGGTTCCACGCCGTAGCAGGCTTGCCCCGCGAATACCGTAGCCTTTGACCTAGTCATCGGCATCTCCACTCAGGCGTCGATAGCCGGAGTCGCTGTGCAGGTCAATTTCGCCAGTTGGAGTCATCGATTGATCGACGATCTTCTTAGGGCAGGCCTGCAGCTCCCTAGTGATCGCGTTCAGTCGTCGCACTTGTATTTTGGTCGGTTCTTGGACACGTTGTAGAGAGATCGCATATACCATCAACCGCACTGGGGTGATTAATGCGTAAGCCAATGCGCCTCTGAGGCTGACGAACATGTCCGCAACCATGTTGGAGGCCTCGGTGTCAGCGTCGTGGCCTGTGTGTTCAGGATGTTGTATAGGACGAAGCTGTTTGATGTATTCATGTTGGTCCACTGTGACGTTGTCGCCCCCATCCTTTGCGCGCCTCACAGCACAATTGGCATGCGTGTGTTTGTTGAGATACCAGAAGTGTCATCGACGCACTTGACGCACTTGCCAACGGTGTCCTCAGTGCCGGCCATATTGATATAATCAACATGATTAGATGCGAGCAGGTTACAGCTCGTCTCGAACTCCTCGTCGTAGGAAGTGGGTCTGACACCAAAGGCTCTCGTGGCCATTCTGAGCTTCAATGAGAAAGATCTAGGTGCATCCTTGGTACCAGTGCCTGGCTTGAGGCACTGCAGGCAGCGCTTCGACTCGTCGTAGTGCTCGAATCATGGGTCGGATCGAAGCACCGCTGCCGATCCAGGCGGCGAGGTAAAGCGCGCCACTCGTCCTTTCTCACCAGTTGCCTCAGCAAGCGCCTGGCAAGTTAATCCTTTCAGGAAAGCCATGTTGATGTCAAGGGGAGCAATGATCCACGGCTTCTTGCACGCCGCCGCGCTCGCGAGCAATCCCTGGCTCGGCCGCCGCGCTGCCCCTGAGAAGGCTTCCGCATCAGAAGCCTCGAGGCGAATGAAACCCCGAAGCACCGGGCGTAGCCTGATGGCACGATCCATCTCGCCCTTTTTATTCTTGGCGAACTTCCATGTTTGTGCGTACCTGGAAGTCATGATGTTTGACGCCTATATATCTAGGTAAAATACGTACATTGTGCATTGAAGCACTTGTTGTCAAAGCATGTCTTGAGTTCAGTGTATAGGGCTTGCGCTACTTTCTCGGGATTCGCCTGGACGTCGGCCTTCGCCAGGAGGACGTCACCCTTGACAACCGCAGCTCGTTTTGAAGCGGCGGTGACATATGCTCGCATGGTGGTTACACGGTCGGCATCTAATATCCTGCGCAGTAGTTCGGCTAGGACTACCTCTGACAATTCAGCCGCGAAGCAGAGTTCTACATATTGACCATTTTCGTCCGAGTCCAATCCGTAGCTGCGGGCTTCGACCGTAGAGTAGCGGGGCATGATACGTCTCCTCGATATCGGAGTCGCGTGGATAGCCCCACTGAGGCAGGTGCCCCCGCTGTTCTTCAGCTAAGATGACAAGCGCGCTGTTATTGGTGATCGTATGCGTGGGTACAGTGTAAAGGTCATCTCGTGGAGTCGCCTCCAATAGTGCCCTTTCTTCATGCAATTCTGCGCACCACACTTCCCCATATGTGCCTCAAGGTCCGCTTCTGATTCCTCATATATCGTAGGAAGCCGTCCGTCCTCCTGTGGTGGTTCGGCTCCCAGGGCGTCTCTGGCGTTTTCGTCTTGCGCCGGCATGTCCGCAAGTGCCTCTAACATTGCCATATCTAAGTCAAAGCCCGCCTGAGGTTTAGTGGACTTTAGGCACTGGAGAATTCTCGAATGCGCTGATCCAGTTATCATGAATATTCATGGCGGTGCCTTCTGCCCCATAGTAATGGAAACCTGGATTCACGTCATTGTCATAATGGACAACTGTGCAACTGTCAGCGTAAGCCACCAGAGGTCGCTCATGGATCCTCTTAGCCAACTTCACAGATACTACATTCTCGATGCGGAAGAAGTTTCTCGTAAGGTACTGCATCGCCAGATGTACTTTGGGAGATATCGGCTTTCACTGGTCATCTGAAGTTCCCCCTTTTTCGGTTCGCCAAATGCCATAGCAGGTCTCATCGCTGTAGACTGGAAACGAATGCCAACACTGTCCGCAACGCAGCGCTGTCAGAGCCGATCTCTCTGGCTGTCAAAGCTTCGATGTGAAGT